AATGCATCCAACATCATTTTTCTTCATAACTACAACAATACTACGTCATCAAAAATTCTTCCCATCACTCTCATTTTTTGGTCCATTTCTATCTTCTTTTATTCTTTTGTTTTTATTTCTTTAAACTTTGCACCAAGTTTTAGTCTTAATTCCCCAATTTCGGTTATATAAAAAAATTAAATATATCATCTTATAAAAGTCTACATTAATCGATTCGTTTAATTTATAGACTTATTTGAAGAAGCTATAATAATGTTTTTTATATAAAAAGTTGGATTTTTATTTGTGCTTACAACTTAGGGAAGAGATAAACGTAGAATATGTAAATTGGAGGGCATTAAGGTATGAAGTCAAATGTTGGAGGTTAAGATATGATGATGAGAGAACCATTTATAAAGGAAAGGATATACAGCTGTTTGATGAGACATATGCTATCTCTCTGTCTTTTTCAAAAAAATATGCTTTTAAAAATTGTTTGTTTTTAGATTGTAAAATGTAAAATCTATAGCATTCCTTTACATATTTATCGGTATCAGATTCTGTTTTTCTTCATAAAAAAACATGCAAATCGACAAACGTTGGAGAATTTTGTTTCATGACCATGCATGGCTTGATATTTCTTTTTTTATACACCCACTGATTTCGCTTTTTTTTTCCTTTGACATTTTAGTGTTTTGACATAGATATCTGAATTTAAAGGTGAACAAATAAGAATAGTCTATGATAATATGAATTTTTTATTAATACACGAGACATGTTGGATGAATTTTAAATTTTTTAAATATTTATCCAATCACATTGAGGTGTGTAAACTCGTTTTTTTTAATTGAAAGGTGATTTCAAACCAATGAGATTTTAAATCTATATGAATAAAAATATCCCTTTATAATAAAAATATTACAATGAGATTTTTATTATCATACAAAGACTTGTAGAAAACTTTAAGCAAAATCTATTCTTGAAGTAATTTTAAAACCAAAAACATATGCTCCAATTTAAGGACCCAATCTATATTTAGAGATCCAACAAATATTTTGGGCCAATCCATAATAAATTTACAAATTTTAATTGAAATTCTGAAAGAAAAATAGAAGCTGAGGAGGGAACATATCAATTTAAATTATTAAAAGATTATTCAAACCAAACTTAATCCAAATTAAAATTATTAGACCGTAAAATAAACATAACACGTTGTTCTTGTTGTGTTGCCATGTATTTTACAGGTTGCATGGGGTGTGTTGCGATAGGGTTTTCCATGAAGTGTGTTATTATGCAGTCTGCTACTCTCTATTCTTTCCACTCTAGGGTGTACTCTTTTTCCTTCGATTAGGCTTAGGGAGATTTTTTAATGAGATACCTGGGATGATTACTTTGTAAATTCCTTATTACATAACACGTAGAATTTGAAGAGGGAGATGGTAGCCTCACAGGTTGACTGTGTACAATTTTATCAAAGTTTTGATGAAGTGATCAATTTGGCATTATACTTTTTCTGTGTTTCCACGTGCAATATAATTCAAATAAATTATTAAATTCTTCAAATGAAGCAGCCAACAGGTTAGTCTCTGCTTTCAGACATAAAATAATCTATCCATAACGGTTCTTTCCCCCTCCATTTTCAAGATCAAGCCACTTGTAATGGTCAAATTGTTTTATTCGATTAAAATACCATTTTTTGAATTTTTATATTTTTTTTAGCTGTAAAAATATTTACTTCTTTATCCAAATAACTTTTTATTGTAAGTGTGTTTATGTACAATTATAACTTGGAGATTTTGTTTCTTGTACATACACGAAGTGTCCCATATCTTCATGTACTTTGAGTCAATGTTAATCGTAACTAATATGAAATTTTCCATAGGCTTGATTGACAAGTGATTATTTATTATTAAATCAAACTTATGGTAGACTTAAGACTAGTTTAGCATTAATTTTAAAAAATTATTTTTGGATTAGTTGGTTTAATGATCAATATTGATGTTAAAAGATGTTTTTGAGAAAATAAATAATTATTTTAGACAGAAAATTATCATTTAACTTTAATTTTATCTTTATAATCGAATCTTTTAGCTTTAACTCTATTATTTAAAATTTGTAATTGAGAAAATGTATTTTATTCTATCATATATTTTTCAATATATTGTATTTTGTAAGAATTAATTATTTAAAACAATAAATAAAATTTTAATGACATTGGAAAAATAATATTTATCATAGGAAATTAGATGGACAAAACAGTGGCGGCTTTCTAATAAATGCTTTTGTTTGGTTTTTTTTATTTAAAAATTGTAATTCGAAGCCACCACAAGCGACAAACTTCCTTTTATTTCTTTTTAAATGTTTTTGTTTTCAAACAAATGCTGTCAAAGTTGAGACTACGCAGTCAGCAAAGCAGTGTAGAAAAACAAAAATTGTATTTTGAAGCCACCAGAACACTTTTAATTGGACGTAATTCTATTTGTATATATTATGACTATCAATTAAATTATTGATATATTACAATAATTAATTTTAATATAAATATAATTTCATTTATAATTTGTATTGATTAATTCATATTATAATATATATATATATTGATTATAATTATAATTTGAGAAAAAATAATTTAGTTCCGGCCTAACTTTGCCTGTTGATTATAATAGTTATTAATTAAGAACTTGCCAACTTCTACATACCTATTTATTCAATTATTAAGCTTCATTTACTCTCGTTAAAGTTGAAAATAAGTTGTTTAGTTTCATTTTATTTTAAAAACAGATTAATTTGCAGAATTTGTTTTTAAAGATAATAATTAATAAAATGAATATTGTAATTACTGATAATATATAATTATACTATTGGCAATGAATGAATTTAAAATAATTTAATTTAGAATAAGAGTTATAATTTGAGGATGAAATTGAAATATTTAAAAACTTTAAAAATAATTTATAAGAAATCCATAGTTTAAGAACATATTATCAAATTAATACTATATAAAAAAAATGGTGCGACATTAATTAGTAAGTGGTAATTTCAATTCAAGCATTGATCAAGTGTTGAGGGGCCTTGAGCCCATATTAGTTCCATCTATTGAGCTTTGTGATTTACTACCAATTGTTCGCCAAATTGCAGAGAAATTATTGGCAGAAAATTCAACATACATGTGAAAAAAAACCTATGTTGAATCAAACTAGACTGTTGAGTTCCAAATGATCCTCGTTTCAGAGAAGAACATGGTTTCTCCTTACCACTTTCTCACGGTTCTCAACCAATCACAAGTGAATTAACTCAATAATATGGTGCGGAAATTGCTTTGAAATATGGAAACAAGTCCTAACTTCAAATTGATTTCTTTTAATGTTTATAAAAAATACGGTGCAACGTACAAGTATACAAATATAACTGCAAATTAACTCAGTGTAATAAAATGAAATACTATAGTATTCTATAAGGATCAGAAAGCAAAACTAACAATATTTGATGTAATAGAATTTGGAGTGATGAGGGCCATCCATCTCAGAAGTGAGACAGGCGTTCCCTCAATCACAAACAATGGGATCTCCTCTGAATGCAGAGGCTAGGGCTCAAATCTTGTTTGCAGTGCCTATGGTGTTATTCGATGTTTTTTAACTACTCAATTACTATGGTTTCTGTCATGTTTGCAGGCCACCTTGGTGTGGTCGAGTTTGCTGATTCAACTCTTGCCAATTCGTGGGTCACTTGCACTGGTAATTAGCCTCAACTTTAATCTACTTCTACCTGTTCTTGCCCAAAAAAATTTGTAAATTCCCATTGTTGTTGTTTTCAGGTAGGTTTAAGTGGAGCATTGGAGATTCTTTGTGGTCAAGGATTTGGTGCAAGGATGTATAAGATGTTGGGGATTTACCTTCAAGCTTCTTGCATTATTTCTTTCGTTTTCTCTATTATCATATCGGTTTTATGGTTTTTCACCGAGCCGATCCTTGTTTTGCTTGACCAAGACCCTGAAATCTCAAGAACAGCTGCTCTTTACATCAAGTTTTTGATTCATGTTTTGTTTGCTTTTGGATTTCTACAAAACACACTGAGGTTTCTTCGGACACAAAGCATGGTTATACCTTTGGTCGTGTTCTCTGTCATTCCAGAACAAGAGTGTCAAATGAATTGGGAGCTGCAAAGCCAAACCGAGCAAAGCATGCCATGGCAGTGACTCTCAAGCTCTCAATCCTTCTTGCGCTTGTAGTTATCCTAACGTTAGCATCGCTATATCATATTTGGGCTGGTTTCTTCCCTGAAAGACATTCAATAATAAAAAAATTTGCAGAGATGACACCATTCCTTATTGTCTCCATAGTTATTGATGCCATACAAGACACCTTGTTCTACAATAGTGTGCATATACTTGTCACGATCATGACATGTTCTTCAATAGTGTTTGAAATTAAACGAGTGTAACTGAAAATCATGTTACAGGAGTTGCAAGGTGATGTGGTTGGCAAAACTTGGCAGTATCTGCTAATTTAGGGACTTTCTATTTTATTGGCATGCCAATTGCTATCCTAGTTGGATTCAAGTTTAAGCTCTACGGTAAGCTGAGTAAAAAGTATATGAATCATTTCATTTATTATGCATTGAATATAATTTAACCATTTTTGGCAAAAAAGAATATGATTTGGCTATTGGATTATTTCATTTATGGTAAAGTTCCATTTATCATGTACACCGAGTCATTTCATTAATTTATTATGCACAAATAAAGTTATCGTACTAAAAATTGAATTATGGTTTCGCCAAGCATACCAAACAAGTATTTTCTAGTATAATATAGCTTTTCTAATTTGAACCCATCAAGTGAATCTTAGTGATTAAATCGAGTGTTGTTTTCTTAGAGTTTTCGAATTTGAGTAACTACGTCTATAGGTTGGTTGTGTGTGCGTTGTCAAGACTAAAAAATATTATTAACAGATACTAAATATAATTGTGTAATGAACACGATCCTCTCATAAGTGAGATTGGCTTACCCTCAATCACAAACAATGGGAAATCCACTGAAATTAGAGGTTACCAAAGGAAGGTTCTGGAAAAGAGTTATGGATTTGGGAGAGGCTAAGAGTCAAATCTTGTTTGCAGTGCCTATGGTGTTATCCAATGTTTTCTACTTCTTAATTACTATGATTTCTGTCATGTTTTCTGGTCACCTCGGTGAGGTCGAGCTTGCTGCTTCAACTCTTGCCGATTCATGGGCCACTGTCACTGGTTTTGCTTTCATGGTATAACCACTTTATTTAACTTTAACCTGATTCATGTTCTTGTTTGAAAGTTCTGCAAATTACCACTGATGTTTTATTTCGAACATATCCGTATTAGACGCATTCTATATTCGCATCGAATATTCACACTCAAATCCATTGAAATCGCTATGCTTTTTTTTCTTTTTCGGACAGAACAAGAGTATCAAATGAATTGGGAGGTGGAAATCCGAACAAGGCAAAACATGCCATGGCAGTGACTCTGAAGCTCTCGATCCTTCTTGTGCTTGCAGTTGTTCTCACGTTAGCCTTTGGACACGATATCTGGGCTGCTTTCTTCTCTGACAGCCATTCAATAATCAAGAAATTTGCAAAGATGACGCCATTGCCGCTCGTCTCAATAGCCATTCAAGGGGTCTTTTCAGGTTTGGAAAAAATCTAACATTTCGCATACATATATATGAATGATTTAGATTAAAGGTAATAAATTAGAAGATTTTAAGGAGAACAAAAAAGATTTTCATTAATTGCAAAATTTTAATTTTAATTATTAAAATCGATTAATCTAACGTGACATATTCAAACATCTAAAATAACAGGACATAATCGAAAACCACGTTGTAGGGGTTGTAAGAGGATGTGGGACTCGATCCCACGACCTCAAGGTTAAGAACCTCCGTGGGACTCTAATTTGGGGACATTTTACCTTATTGGCATGCCCGTTACGATTCTACTTGGATTCAAGTTTAGACTATACGCTGAGGTGAGGAAACTATGGAAACACAAAAAAGAATTCATCACTAATTTTTAGAATTTCGACTGCTTAAATTTTTTTATCCAATTCTAATAGAAAATAACAATCTAATTATTATTATTATTATTATTTTCTTAGTTTTCTCTCACTAATTATGTTTTTTTTTTCAGGGATTATGGATGGGGTTAATATGTGGTCTATCCTGTCAAACTTGCATTCTTATGTTGGTTACATTTTGTAGAAAATGGACAAAAATTGATCTTTAGAAGAGAATAATAGTGAAATGTAAGTTTGGGTTGGTTACACTGGAACCAATGCTTTATTGGTAATAATTATTCACATTCGCATAAACATAAGCCAGACGGTATGCAGACTTAACTAGTTTATTTGGTTCTGGTTTACAGATTTTAATCGGTTCGATGTTAAAATGATTAAAATAAACTGTCTGAACGGAATCGAATAATTTTCTTCTCATTCATTATATATTCTTATTTTTTTTCAATAAAAATATCATATGATTTGGTCCACTACAATAAACTTTGTAAAGAGAATGTTTGAAAGGAGTATTATTCTTTCTGTTAAAAAGAACTCCATAAATGTAGAGTGATTTCCATGATTTTGCCAAGTAATTCATACAAAACTTTGCTTTTTATTCGAATATCATCCAAAAAATAATTAATTACTAAAATGATATCCATTGTAGATTAGTTTTCGATCTAATAAAGCTGTGTTTTACAAAACTCGTTTTCTGTTGATATGACAAAAGGCCCGTTTTACAAAAAGTGTCTTTTACCGATTTCATGTTAGATTTAAATGAAAGAAGAAAAAATGTCAAAAATTTGAAAAAGTATATAAATTTTGTCTAAAAAGAACAAACGTGCACGGTATATGTCGAGGGTACGTAATTGCGCGAGTATGTGAATGAGCATGAGTTGAGTTGGGCTACGACAACACTGTTTATTGACTCTATGTTTAATCATTCAATAAATAAATATTCAAAATATTATATTTAAATACTTGAAAACTCACACATCTAAATAATATGGGTCAATACATATGTATCATCGTTGTTGCCCGGCCCAGCTCGTGCAATTATATAACTTTGAACCGCACCACACACATTTATTCTTTTTATATAAAATTTGTATAATTTTCTTTCATATTTTTTATTTTATTTCAATCAAAATTGACCGAAATCAATATGACGCGCTTCTTACAATAAGTAGAAGGTGTTTCTTGCATAATGTGCTTTTACTGAATAAGATGTTACACGTGTAAGCAATTTTGGTAAAACATGTTTTCTTACCACATAATAAAAATAAGTGTTATATCAGAAATTAATTAAACGAATGTTATTTTAATAAATAATTTTTTAAGATGATATTTGGATAAGAAAACCCCAAAACTTAGACAGAAGACTTGAAAAAAACACGTAACATACGCTCCGTGTTATTTCATTTCTTCCAATGATGTTACTCTTAACAATATAGCCTCAATTTCACACATTTTTTCACTTCCTCAATTAAAATCCCAAAAATCTGTTAATTTCCAAAATTGAAAGCTTTGGGTTTCCAGAGGTTTCTTTGAAGCTTCTTGTGTGCATGTCTCTATATATGCTCATATTCATCACACACAAAGATCAAATTTAACTTTTGCCTTTCTTTTTGAGCCTAAGGAACAGGGAAGACGGAAAAAAAGAGTCTTTCAGCTATGAAATTTCAGAGGTTTCTTTCCCTTTTCTTGGTTTTATTAGCTTGCTTTGTTCGTTCTTCTCATTGCAATACTTTCTATGTTGGTGGGAAAGAAGGCTGGGTTTTGCACCCTAAAGAGATGTATAGTGATTGGGCTGGTAAACAGAGGTTCCAAGTCAATGATGTACTAAGTAAGTTCATGTGTTTTTTTAGTGGTTTGATTCATTTTTGTTGAAATAGTTCTTGATTTATGTGTTTTTGTTGTTGCAGTTTTCAAATATGAGAAAGGATCCGACTCTGTTTTGTTGGTGACGAAAGATGATTACTACAAGTGTGAACGAAAGCATCCTTTGATGGAAATGAGCAATGGAACTTCCGAATTCAAGTTTCCTCATTCGGGTCCCTTCTACTTCATTAGTGGCAAAGAGGATCATTGTTCAAAGGGTCAAAAGATGATCGCCGTTGTCATGGCGGAGAAACACCAGACTCCTCCCTCGATACATCCACCGATTGTTAAGCCTCCAGGGAAATCACCATATCCGGGGCCGGCTCAGTCACCCGAGCACCATGGCCCTGTTGCTAAGCCTCCGACGGGTTCAACTCCGGGGCCAGCACAGTCTCCTTATACCCATGTACCCATTTCAAGTCCACCTTCTTCGGTCCCTACTGGCTCACCCATGGCTTATGGACCGACTCACTCACCGGCGCCATCTACTCATCATGCACCGCAGTCTCCGGTGGCTCATGGTCCGACTCACTCGCCGGCGCCATCTACTCATCATGCACCACAGTACGGTCCATCGCAGTCTCCGGTGGCTCATGGTCCTACTGCAAACCCACCTAAGTCAACATCTACTTCACCATCTTCTTCATCACCACAAGGCTCAACTCCCGCCGGTTTATCACCTGCACCGTCTACGGGTTCGGGTTTAAGTCCACCGGCACCTCCACAGGGTACTTCTCCTTCTCCTTCTACTACCACTTCACCGTCCGGAAGTCAAACCAGTACCCCGCCCAAGGGATCATCCGCCACAGCTACTTATTCCAGCGTACTGGTTCTTGCTTCTAGCGTCTTATTTTGTAGTATGATCTTTTAGGACGCTTTTGGATGGGTTCTAGAAATGTTTAATAATTTTTGTATTTTTTTTTTATTTTGGAATTCTTGTATGTGATTTTCCTTTTTCTTTTTTAGTTATGATTATTCCATATTTCATATCACTTTGTTGTGATGTTTAAAGAACTATATTTGTGTTTGAACTTTTTATGATTTTGCCTTCAAGGTTTACCCTTCTAATTTTGGTATATAATTTTAGTTTATATATATATATATATATATATTGTTTGGTTTTCATTTAATTTTAGATTAAAATACATGAATGGTTATTGATTATAAGATATTATTTTATTAAGTCATTTAATTATTAAAATTTATAAAATAATCTCTTGATTATAGATAGATATTTTGTTAAGTTTTTAACTGTTAAAAATTATAAATTAGTCATTTAATTATTTTAAATTTGTTATTTTTCGTTAAAAATTTAACGATAAAATGAGTTGGACATTAATTTATTGATCGATATATATAATAAAATTTAATTTTATAATCTCAAATAACTATCATATCTCAATTGATATATTAAAAATTTAACGAATATTATTTTTTTAACGAAAAAGTATGAGTTTATAACATGGTTTTATAATTTTTAATAGTTGAATGATTTTATAAAGTAACTTTTTATAATTATGAGATTATTTTATAACTTTTAATAATTAGGGAATTCAACAAACTAATATATTATAATTAAGAGACTATAGTTTTATATATTTAACAATAAATATATTTGTTTGTTCTTTTAATAAATATATTTGTTTGTTCTTTTAATAAATATAATTATTTATATATAATGTTGATTTATTTAATAAATATTATCATTCTTAGTATATTATATATAGATGTGATGTTATATAATGGTAATAATTTGAAGAAAAAAAATCAAATTAGAATTTTAAATATATAATTACGTAAAATCAAAATTTATGAATGATATTATATATTTAATGAAAGTTGATATATGATTTTAATATTTATTATAAATATAGAAAAAAAAGAGTTTAGTCCGATTTAGAGTCTAATTCAAATTTACAATAGTTGATGTTGATGTGATATTGGATATTGAAATAAATGATACCTAATATTTTTTATCTTTTTATTTGAATGATATAGCTTAATAAATTTCTTTTGGAATAGTGTCTTGGAACATATATATTTTTTGATATATATATATATATATTAATAAATTATTATTTATTAAATTATTATTTCATATATATATATATTTGAAAAAAATGTAAGGTATTAAAATATGTTGTTATATTAAAATTTACTTTTATTTTATGTTATTAAATTGAATAAATTAATATTTATATTATTATTTTTATCTTATAAAAATTTAAAAATATATTAAATCAAATGGGATTGAATTGAATTTATAATTAAATTTTGAATTATATTCAAATCGAGTAACTTGAGTAAAATTTAGAGAATATAATATTGAGTCGGGTTCAAGTAGATCAAAATCTATCCTAACTTTTAACTATACATTCTAGATAGTATTTATTTAGAATATTTCTTAATCATTATAATATAAATAATTTTTACTACTCGAACCCAAGATCTCTAGAAAAAAAAAACACTCCCTTTTACCACTAATGTCGTTTAATGAATTTACATTTCTATTATTTTCATTATCATTGCCAATTTGAAAAAGTGCTTTGTTACTTAAAATTGGATCTTAACCTAATTCTCCCCTCAATTTATTCAATAATTAAAAGAATTAAAGCCCCTGAACCTTATTTATTATATGCCATTGATAGATTCATCAGCCTCTGGTTCAGGTCATGATTCTATGCATAATTTTGGATATTTAATTTTATGGAATGTCATTAATTTACACAATCACAAATCTATCCATAATATTAATTAATTCTTTTAATTCAGTGAATACTTGTAAAGGGAAAAGGGAATTAATGTTTACCAAATAACTGGTATCATTTACTGACAAAATTTTAATAATTATTTTAAAAAATATTATGTGTTTTACTTGGTTAAAATAAAAGTGGATTTTCTATACGGCACCTGCCTTGCTTTTTTCATTTTTTTGGGAGGTTTTGAAGGATAAAGACGGCGCCGTTTTAATTGGTACGCTACTTTTCCATTCATTTCCATGACTGCGTCTGTTTTTTCTTCTTTACTTGTTACTGCAATCATTTTTAAATGTTTCATTTATTCATATGATAATTTATGTGTTAGATTTGAAATTCAATTTATCTATAGGAAACATAATACATTATTTTTATTACCTTGTAACCATATGTATTAAGAGTCGGTTTACTTGATTTTTTATAAATTAATTTAATTATTTAATAAATAATATTTTACACATTCATCAATCAATTTCAATAATTTAAGAGAATATAATTTTTTGAGATCTTAAATTTAAACAGTTATTTTTATAAAATAATATATAAATATTTATTTTAAATTAATTAAAAAATATTTTACGAATTAAAAAATCATCATCAAGTAATTAATTTATGTTATTATTTTTTTATTTGAAAAGAATTCATGTTATTCTTTTATATTATAATATTTGGGAATATGTTCAATAATTCAGGGAAAGAGGCATTTATAACACTTGTCAGACTTGCAACATTGACTGACAAGGAACTGTGTATATCTCTTTCAAGTCTTTGGGTTTGAGCACAAGTCTTGTTGTGTGGGCACACTTAACACACAAATTAAATTATTATAATTTTTCTGAAAAATAATAATTGCCTTTTTAAAAGTTTAGCGAATCCTTATCTTTTGGGAAAAAATAAAATTATCATAAACTTGCATATTCGATAGGTCAATTTCACTTCTTCACGTAGTTTCTTTACTGATTATAAAATTTAGATCTTTCAATTCTTTGTAATAAATCATGCTATGTGTTGTTCTGAGGCAAAGAGGAGAAAAAATAAAAGTGGTGGATATATTAATTAAGGCCACGTGTTGGGGAGACATAGACAAGAGGAAAATGTTGATAATAAGCGAATATCCACGTAACCCTACACATCAAGCAAGATGACAAATCCTTTTGACAAGTACAAATATTTTTAAAATTTAAGAAAAGGAAAATCGGGAGCATGAAGTCCGAGAAAGTTGCTGTTATACATATTTTTTCCCCGTATTAATTGATTAGTTACCGTCTGATGGTTCGTAACATGAATTCTCGTGAGGTAAGATTGGCAGTGAAAATCAATGTGTCGGCAAAGTTTTATGGAGGAAGAAAAAGACCTGAATGACTGAGGTTCCGTCTTTTTTTCCAACTGTGGGTGAAACTATTGGCGTGTAGGATTGGTGCTAAATTTATCAAATTTAAAATTTTAAGATTAGATAAATCGATTATGATACCAATTTAGTTAATTTTATAGATTGATTATCCATTATTTGAATTTATATTATATTAATTTTTTAATCATTTTAAGTATTTTATTAGTTAAAATCTTTAAGAGTCTTTGTATTATATCTAACAATTATTTCTCTCTCTATTATAAAAAGATATTTTAAATATAGACTGGATTACATGCAGATTTTTTTTTTTAAAACTGTGTCTGTTTTAGATCATGTAAAATATTCTTAAATTTCAAAATAAATTAAGTACGAATAAAATGATTGATTTTTAAAATTGAATTCAGATGAACTAAAAACTCGAATTGATCCATGACCATCCCAGAACAAGTTAGAGAAGACTGGGACTATCTGTGAGGAAATTTCACTGAAATGAGAAATGTATGTATGGTTGAATTCAACACAAAGCTACGTCTTCCATCAGCCGAGTCCAAGTCTTCCAAATCATGTGCAACTCTTTACTCAAAAATGGTTGATTGCTAGATACCTTCTCATTTTGCATATCCATCTTATGCTTATCAAAAATCATATCTAAAATGCTTTATGTGTATATAAAATCCTAAACGTTATTAATTCATAATACAATTTTTGATACATTCACGAAACAAGTGTCAGATGTATGTGTTCTTTAGGGGTCCACATAAAATTCAAATTCTTTGATGATATCCACGTTGGAATTTTATTTGTGTCCGTTCCATACAAAAAATATTATGTCATTAATATACAAGTTACCCTAAAAAATATTTCTGGATTTATTGCTGCACGAAATATTTGACTACACTTCTTGCTAGACCTGTTATTTACGTTAAGAAGAGTAAACTTATATGACTGAACATTTGAACTTTTCATAACTTAAGTATGCTCGACTTACAATGTTGTCAATATCCATAAATTCCAAAATGGACTACATGAACGTGATTTGATAATTTTCCTCGAGGAATAAGATTGATTTTGTGGAGTAAGTCCAGGAAGTGTAAATTTCTTCTTACCAAAACACAAAAGTGTGAAAATCACATCATATATCCAAATAACTTACACAGATGAATAATGTGTTCAAATGGATCAATTTCCTGCAAATAATGTGTTCATTGCATTTTCCACTACTTGATTGCCAAGAGAATATTTCATATCAGTCGATAATAATCAATACTTTACCAAAAGTAAAATTTGCAAGATATTGGATGATCCATGAGGATGTAGAAAACAGAGGGTGAAAACTGGGGAAGTATATAGGCACTAACATTATCAGATACAAAAATGACTGAAATGATTTAGAAAATTAACCATCTCCTCCTGGATTTCTGCAACATAAATACAAATAACCAGCATTTATCCCTTGCAAATTGCAATTGAAGTTAAACAAAGCTTTCACATGAGCTAAATGGTTTTCTACCACCAGATTAGCTCAACGTCCCCAAAAATAAGGTTTCAGGGTCCTACCTTTTTACAAGTTAAATATCCTTATGTTACTTATGGAGCGAGGGTCGGGCGCTGGTATGTTAAAACTAAGTTCTTCATGTTGCCGACACTTCATTTTTCTTGAAGTGTCCGTGTCTAACACCCATGTTAGATGCAATATTAGGACATCAAATATAGCAATATGATCCCTTAAAATTCATGGAAAACATTTTTTTTATAAAAAAATTTAACAAGCCCATGACGATGCATACCTTTATCGGCACTCAAACCAGAGTGGTGGTAAACTATTCATGAATCACGATGCAATCTAATATAAATCAATGGCTTAAGATGACATTTGGGTGTACTCGAAACAAAAACTCATAAACATTACTATCTTCCTCCTGGCTTCTGAATGGTATGTCTTAAAAGTAGGCCTTACCACAGTTCGTAACCTTCCAGCATATTAGCGATTATACTATTTCACGGAACAATTATGTTAATTCAGTAAAGCCATTATAGAATTGAACGGGACAAATAGATCGTTTCTCGAGGACAAGCATGTAAGGTCTTATATGCGATTGAATGTAAAACAGGTCATTTAACAAGAGTAGAAATAGGGTCCTGATGTCAACAAATAGCATAGTCTAATTTTCTTCTAGTTAACACCGTAAAAAACATTTCAAAGCGAAGAAAGATAAGTTCGAACCTTCTGATTTCCGTTTTGAGAGTGTATTACAATTGGCTGAGGAAGGACACCATTATCGATGTTCTGCATGTATGGACGCACCTTTTCCTCCAACATCTCGTTTAACTGAAGACCAAACAATTTAAGAGTCCATGAATAAAAAAAATATTGGTATGATAGCAACTATGTCCAGAAAGCAAAGACAGACTGAATCAATTATAGAACTGGGGGAAGTTCTAAGAGAACAAAGAAAACCACTGTTTTCCTACCAAAATTTATGAAAAGATACCAACCTTCTCTTGGCGCCATTTGGTTTCCCACTGAGCATCTAGAAGTTTATCAGCAATCTCTCTTTGAGCATTAAGAAGAACAGTCATTTCATACAGTTTTGCTGGATCTTTCAGGTCATCTTCACTCCATGAAGAAGCATTTAGAGGAAGATCCAGGTTCTGCAAACACACTGCAGTTAGTCCTTTTATTAAAATTATAATTGCTTTCCAATGGATGACTGAATCAATTATAGAACTGGGGAAGTTCTAAGAGAACAAAGAAACCACTGTTTTCCTACCAAATTTATGAAAAGATACCAACCTTCTCTTGGCGCCATTTGGTTTCCCACTGAGCATCTAGAAGTTTATCAGCAATCTCTCTTTGAGCATTAAGAAGAACAGTCATTTCATACAGTTTTGCTGGATCTTTCAGGTCATCTTCACTCCATGAAGAAGCATTTAGAGGAAGATCCAGGTTCTGCAAACACACTGCAGTTAGTCCTTTTATTAAAATTATAATTGCTTTCCAATGGATGAATATGGACTATATAAAACGATAATACAGTATACTCACACCCCAATTCTGTGGTCGGGGAGGAGTATCAAGTTTCATTATTTCTGCCTCCAACGCCTTCTTGGCCTTGTAATAAGGAACATTTTTCACTACAACAGGGTCTTCCCTAGCACGAACAGGATCTATGGCAATCAAGGCCTGTGAACGTTAAATTTATTCACACTATTAGCAGTCCAGACTAAAGGTATCATATGTACTTACATATGAGTAAATGATACTTTATTACATAGAGCGCCAACTTGTGGAGAGATCAAAAAATATTCTACTAGGTTTTAAGTAAAATTAAACACCACTTCTTTGGTTCTATTTTAGACAACCACAATATCTGAGGTCATAGCCTCTTTGGTCATTTAATAATTTAATGCTATTCTGTTTCAATTCTCTTGCAATAGAAAACTAAAAATAAAACGTGTTTCGATCACCAAAACTGGGAACTTCTTTCACAGGAAGAGGAGGTGAAAAGGTTAAAAACTGAAATGAAAAGATGTCAGATGACCCCGTCTTTCATGGAAAATGAACATATTTCGCACCCAAAAAGGCCTTCCAGAAAACAATAAGAAATATAGTGTAATACAGGAACATAATCTTACTTCCTGCAAGTGCTCCCAGCCAGGATTTCGCTTGGCCACCACATCACAAAGTTGGTCATACCGCATAGATTCCTAACCCAAGAGAAAACCAAACAACAACAAGAATTCTTTGATTAGCTAATGATAAATATCATGTAAATAAGACAATAAATTTCGGATGAGTAATGAGATGCATGTGTACTTTAATTTATCATTTATTACATATATTTAATTTCTAACAAAATTTTAATTCATTATTAAATTAATCTCCTAAATGTTATTCATTCGTTATCTACTATTGCTTACTACCTCCGTAAATGTTATATAAGATAAATTCAAGAGTTGTGAGATCATAAACATCTATACCTTGTATTGCCACCAAATTTTCTGCTTCACATCATCATCATAGTCAAATCCACCCACAATGTGAGGTAGGGTAAGCAACCAAAATGCCGCAATGCTGGGGTCCTTCATGCTGTGAACTATGTGCTGGAACAGTAAATTTGACCATGAAATATCAAAATTAAATGAGAAAAAAGTAGTAAACTACCCAACAAGAGATCATTTATAGACACTAAGCCTAGGATCTTGAGTCCTTTGATGGGTCAAAGATACAGAATATGAGCAGAAAAACAGAAAGAAAACTCCATTTTTATTGTGTAGTGTATTCAGATACTAATATATCCATTTTCTTCTCCTTAGCAATTCAGACATTTAATGATGCAGAAATATTCTCTAAAAGTTCTACCACTGAAAAAAACAGAAAGGGAGTGATAAGTTGTGATACTTGCCTCATATGGATATTCCATCTTCCTTAAGATGTTATATGCCTTCCATGGGGGTTCCATTATCTACAGAAAGCATATAAATTAAAGGATGAGCATCTTTAGCATGAAACAAACACAAACAGTAACACTAGGAGAAGTGAAGCACAATTAAATATGTTTTTTAAGATATACAATTAATCGCAAAGTAGAATGCGGGAAAAAAACAAAAGCAGATAGTCTACTGCATAAACTCTGAATCCTCAGTTTCTTCATCCATAAATTTAATACAGTATTTACATGGTTTAAACTATTAACTCTAAACTAGCCACAAATAAAACCCCTTAGCCCTAGGCTGGCAATATCTTTTAGAATATTACTGATATAAATTTAAATTGCACCCTTCATTCAGACATTCATGTCATTGATGTATTTGATTTTTTATCGATAAATTGTTATACCTTTAAAACATTTAAAAAAGCATCCCATCTCTTATATAACGTCTCTTGAGTAAAATCTACTGTCTATAATAAGAGTGTAACATGAAGTTCATTACAGCATTATGGCCTTCTTCCCACACTAAGAAGTAAAAAGGGACAAAAATATGTTAAAGATAACAGATAATCAATGCATGGCATGCCTCAAAAAACCTGTTTTTTTGTCCAAGGAAGTGGTAAATATAAAGACATTACATTTTTAGGCAACATGTCTATAAAAGAATTTTCGTCCAAGATAGGACAACATAACGTAAAACACCAAAGATCCCATACTCTAACAAGTGAAAGAGAACTCACATCGTCCGCAGAGATCCTGATTTGTAATTTGTGCTTGCATTCAGGGCAGTGCATTACTCCCTGAAAAATACATGTTTCGCCCAAGATGAAAACTGAAAAAATTGTCTACTTTGAGGAAATTCTTTAACAAAGGATGATAGTAGAATTGAACAGGAAAACATTGGACAATTATATGCAGTATGCCAAGAAATGTTAAGACTCACTGTTCCATCACAAGTTGGGCATTCTTTAGTTGGCAACGGTGTATTAAGATCAACTGCAGATGGAAGCTGCACCAGCTCTGCTCGATTATCAACAATAGCATCTGCAATGCATTCTGCAGTTGCTTTCTCCCCACTGCAAGAGATTCAAAGCAGACATTCAAGATTAAAATTAAAAAATCATCATTCACATGCTGGATTGGGATTGAATTCCTAACCAAGTCAGTTAAGATCACAAAGCAATTCCGACCCTAAATATTAGCCGCACATAACACAACCATACCAGCCCGAGTCTTTATTCTTTTACAGACTGAACATCTGTAAGAGTCGCTATTGCACCCAAGCACAACAAAACTTTTTCTTTTGTTTGGCCTAGGCCATGTAAGAAATGGAGAAGAAGATGAGTGCATAGTTGTTTAAAGTCAGAAAATAACGACCCGAGGTCAATCTACCTTCTCAAGGAGTAGTTTTTCACTTTATAGTGCACCTTCCCTGATCCTTTACACATAGTGCACCGCAAAGCTTGCCATCCATTGCAGGTAACACAGTTCCTGAACTTGAAAGACCCACCTCATTTAATAAAGCATTTTATTTAAACGATGCATTTCAAATTTGGGCTATAAGAAGGTAAAGAAATAAATCATGGATACATACTTTTTTTATTAGATCTTCTTCTTCACAAAAGAGATAAATGATACAGTTAATGTGGGTACCAATTGTTTTTTTTAAATAGCAGATACTGTTAAAAATGTGCCAAAATGTAGAACGAGTCTTTTCTTTAACAAAAACATCAGAATCCTATTCTCCGCATAAGATAATAAATCTTTAAGTGAAAAACATTTACTTATTTCCTTTCCTTTTCACAAATATAATACAGAGAGAGAGAGAGTAAACAGAGTGGCACATATAATGCCAAGAGTTCTACAAAACCAGGATCTAACAAACGATGACCAGAATCGACTATATAACTTCGGAGGGATATTGGAATTGCACCTTTGACATATCACCTTCTTTCCAAGCTCTAAAGCAATATCATAGGTTCCCAAAGCAGCAATAGCCTGCGATCAACCATGATAAAAAAGAACTAAAATTAATGGATCAAGCTACCCTTCTCTAATCCTCAGAAGGGTAAAATAATAAAAGAGAAACCAATATGGAACATGAGCAAATTCTATCAATCTCCTTTCAGAATTTATCATTTGTAAGAAACATACGGCAAATAGAGACTATAGTTTAATTCTAAAATGCTTAATCTTTGATATGTACAAACTGAAAATACTTTAAGGCCGTAGAAAAGTTCGATTAATAAAAAGTAGAAAAAAGTGAAGCTAAATGAACCAGCAGGTAAACAAGTAAAGGCTCAGTCACCCATTCTTCAAGTGATAAATTCCACTCAAACCCAATAACTGATAAATTGAAATTTGTGAGCACCACTTTCAACACAAATGCAAATTTCAATAGAACGTCACTGAACAATAAACCAACAAAGAAAGTAGCAAATTAGAAAAGGAATCCACTATCTGCTACAATATAAAGAGCCAATGACAGATAACATCAAATTTTGAACATGAAAAAAGGAACATCAAAGCTCAAATATTTTAAAAAATAAAAAATTACCCATTTCAGCAAATTATAATTATAGCAAAACAAGAATAAACCAATAAAAATATTAAGAAAAAAACACAACCCATTTAAGCAAAAGATTAAAACTTGACATAGGAAATCTTACAAAGACAGAAGTATAGGAGAGCTTGGAGATGAACTCAGGGATTCCAAAGCCACGAGGAGCAGAGCCAGCAATGTCAAAGGCAAGGGTGAAAGGAGAGAGCACTACTTTAATTGGGAACTCCAAAATGTCAATAACTTGTTGCCCATATCTTGTTGTGAAGGACTTGTATTGGGAATCTGCAAATTGTTTCACACTCTTTATCAGTTTCTCCGTTCCTCTGGACATGGTTGTCTAGGAGAGCAAAGAGAAGTTCAGAACTGAATGGGGTATTAGATAATGTTTAAGCCGGGGTTTTTTTATCGGGAGTTTATTCCGGGTTTGGGGATAAGCTTTAGTGCAGGATAGGTTAATCTATGTAACCAAACACTTCAATTTTGTCTCATTTAATTAGACGAGAAAAATAATAATAAACCTAGTTTGTTTCATTATTCTGTAGGATTTGATCGTGTTATCGATCTTTCTTCGCAATTTATTTTCTAGTATGTTCAGTTGGCTGTTTATTAAACATTAAAAATAAAGAATATTTTAATATCAATATCAATATTTTATATTTTATTTAAATTAATTTCTTTTTAATAATAATTTAACAAGAAAATTTTCACTGTTAAAAGAAAAAGAACTAATTTTTTTTTATTCAGATTGGATTACACCATATGACATATATAATGATTAAATAATTATATGCTATTTAATATCATAAAAAAATCTAATATAGTTAATATTAATTGAACTTCAAAAATTTAAAAAGTATGAATCATATATATATATATATATATATATATATAATTTTTATGCTTTAAGCCTTTAAGCTGGTTTTTGTCAAAATTAAATCTTTAAACTATTATATATAATTATTTTAAATTTTATCATTTTTTCAGTTCAAAATTTTTTTCCACGAATGAAATGTTTATATATCAAACAAAATTAAGTACTTATTTTGACTAAAATATAATCAATAGATTTAAAGCAAAAAATGGCATATTTAGACTTATTGATAAAAAATAATTTAAATTTTTAAAATAATTACATAAATAATTTAAAGACTTGAAGTAAAAATAAATATAATCTTGAGGATTTTATTTTAGCTTAAGCCTTATATTTATAATGAATAAAATTTTAACAAAAATACTTTGCACGACATCATTCAAACATAAAATATTTCTCAAATTACTGTATGTCTAAAAATATAATTTATTTTCCAGAAATTATTTCCAAAATTTGTTTAACAAACAGACCTAGAAAAACACATTGATTTCATCCATTTTTTATGGTAAATTGAAATGCATTGATTCATTCCTCCATTAAACATGAGCATTGCTTTTAAGTACAAACATCCTAAGAAGCTTTCAGTGCAAAGAATTATGGCATATGAATTGTCTGAAATAGTTTGCAGATCAAACCCTCATGCATGGGGGACCGCAGATTCTTGCAATTTCATTGTCTTCGCACGCAATCTCTCCATGAATGCCAGATTGGCTCGAAGTCGGTTCTTGAAGTATGCAGTACGAGCTTCCTCTGCCATTTTGTTAGCCTTTCCGGCTTCCTCGATGAGAGAAAAGAGCGTTCTGAGGCAATCTTTCCGGTTCTCTTCTCGGTGTTCAAACCTTCAAAAAGGAAAAACAAACGAATTAATTTACCCAGAAGAACAAGGAACAAATTTATGAACCCGAAGCTTAGCGCTGAGTCATATGGAAAGCAAATATGTAATATCTTTACCTCTCACTAGTAATTGTAAGTTCATCTTTGCCTGGGTGGTATCTCTTTCCAACAAGCTCCCGTAACCTGCGGAATTGATGCTTTGAAAGCCCGAGCTCCTTCACTGTAACAGACATCTTTACCTTTCTGTTTTTGGGATGCCATGCATCACCACCAGGAGCAAACACTGCCCGCGTTTGCCACCTAAGGATTGGTCCTTCACCAGGCGGGTCATTGGAGTTCTTTTTCTCATCTGGAACAGCCGTCTCATCAAATTTTGGTGGGCCCTGAGCTTCCATCATCTTTCCATATTCCATAACCATCTGATCCTCGAACTCCTTGAATTTCTCATAAGCTTCTTCGACTTCAAGCTCGCCTCGTTCACACATATCACCTAGCTCATTAAACTTTTCTTCCACCTTTTTCTTCATTTCATCTGATTAAGCCAACATAATGCCATGCAATTGTCATTCACATAAAATCATGAATTATAACAAGATTAACAAGCCGGGATGGCCTGAAACTTCAACACTACTCTAGTAATCCTTTGAACCAAGTCACTTCAAAAGATCACCCAATTGAGTGAAACTTCGTCTTCACGTATTGTCATATTGTACAAAGCTCCATGCAGTTCTTAGTTAAGAGAATATATACAGCTCAAATGAAGGCCTCGAGTCTAGAGGCCAAAATGATAAATGAAAAATAATTGAAAATGTCATATGTTATACTAGAGCTATGAATCTCCTTCCGTAGAAAAATTGAACTAGAAAGCAGCAACCCAAGTGACAGTAATGTGAACTTGAAAAAAATACATTGACCCGAGAAACAGAGTCTTTAATCTTAGCAACACCCTTGCTAGTGATATTTATGTGCAATCACAAGTAATCGGCTTTCGAGAAATGAAGAAGTCCAGGTGGGTTCCTCAAGTTCAGAATAGGAAGTGGATCTTTAAATTCAATTTTGTAACACAAGCAAGTTTTACAAATCTACCTACTCATTTAACTACACAAAATGGCGCTGAGAATATTACAATTGAGCATTTCAGCAGAAAATGGATTGATAATCTATACACGTATCAGTACTGTAGACTAAAAGCTAGAATTGGCAGAGATTTACAAGTACACCATAGAAAGTATATCGATTCAGTATTACGGAAGCAAATAGCCTCACATAGAAAATAACATATGATGATATTAAAATCAGTAAAAACCTGGGAGAAGTTTGTCCCAGCTAAGCATGTCCTCGAGAATCTCCTCACACTCCTTCGTGACTTTAAGATATCCATGCTCAACGGCTTCCTTAATCATTTCATCCCACTTCTGATCATCCATGTTAAAGTACTCATCCTTGACCATTCTTTTTGTGACTATATCCCTGGAACTGTACAAATTATCTATCTCTTCATCAGTCGAGTACAATTTTTCAAAATCTGACTCAAACTCTTGATCAGTCACATCGTCTCGTGGTTGTGGCGCCATTTCATCCATCAACTCATCATCCGTCTCCTCGTGCTTCCCAGCCAACTTTCTATGCAAAATGGCCTCGAGAATTGAAGGGAGTGCCTCTTCATCCCCTTGGAAGTACTTCTCAATTCGGGTTTTCAGTTCTGGCGCCAAAGAACTAACAAGGTAAACAACAAAACTAAGAAACAAGCTATCACTTGCTTTTCTCATCATCCAAACAGAACATATATAATTTAGTTTCCCTCGCTTTTCTCATCAACCAAACAAATAATTCCAAAAAAAGAAGAAACAAATTCCAGCAAAGAAGACGCACAGATTAAATCGTCAGACCCAGTTTAAAACATTTTAGCTAACTAAAAAATAAACATTAACAAACCAATGAAAAAAATCAAATTTGATTATCCATTTTCACCTACTTTACTCACTATCTAAACAAAGGCACAACAAACAAATTTCCGAAAAGAAACTCAAATCCATTATTTTTTTCACCTTTATTGCTGACATCTTCCAAAGCCAAAGCTACCTCCTCGCCAAAAGCTTGAACTACTGAAGGAGATTCAGGAACAGGGTCTTGAGCTACTGAAGTAGAATCAGGAACAGGGTCAGGCTTCTTTTCAGCAGGAGGATCCAAATCGGACGAGAAGAACCTGAATCGAGACCGAGTTGAAGCGGGTGAATGAGTGAACTGATTTTTGGCTGATTTTGGTAGAAGAGTGAAGAAAATTGCGAGTAGTGAGTGAAATGCCTCTCAACAAAACCCTGTTCATGTCTTCCAAAAAAGGGTTTTAGTATTCCAGTTTTTTCCTTCCGTTTTTCTGTCTTTGATTTTCATTTGGGGAACAAAAATTAGGGTTTTAGATTTGGAGAAGATAAATGTTTCTTGGTTTGGGTTGTAGGCTTAGAACCCACCATTGACAATGTCTGGTATATTGGACCAATTTCAGTTATACATTGGTTTAGGCCCACACCATTGTTCTTTGTTATTAATATCTTAATAATCTTCTTTTAGATGTATAGATCACTGAATTATATTATATAACTATTTTAATTATTAAAAAATTAAAAATTTTATAATCAATTATAATAAAAATCAATAAAGACAGCTTGAAATAAGTTTTTTTTATTAATTTAGAGTGAATATATAATATTTGTTCAAAGATTCGATTATTTGATATTGAACGTTCATATACCCCTATATAAGTGATGTTTAAACATAAAATCTCAAAAATTAATAGTAATTCATTAATTATTAAAGTCGTCTGATTGTGTTATTTACATCCATATTTTCTATAGTTATGGATACTAATACTCACTTTGAACTTTTCTTTTATTACATTCTATATATTGTCAGTCATCTTCAACTGTGTGTTTGTCCACAGCTAGAAATAGAAAGATATTATTTTGCTGCTATTCTTTTCATTTGTGCATTAAGCTCGAAGAAGACCTTATCTGTAATGAAGATAGTAGCTGATTGTTTTATAGGCTTTATCATATTCCTTTTCCAATTACTGGAAGATTGTTTCTGGCATACCTTAATTATGGGCTTGTAATTCGGAACTTTGATAGGTGTTCAAAAGGAGAGAATGAAACCAGATGATATGTACATATTATCAGGAGAGGGATCTATCATATCCTCGCCGTCTCCGAAGCCATACCCTCATAAGCCTCCCAAGTGCTCTGATTGTGCTCCTCTTTTCATGAAGGCAGCTATTATACGTGCTTTTTAGAAAACTACTATTTCACATTGTTTAATCAATCCAGTGGTTTATTTTTTACAGTATCTTCTATAAAATTGCAATCTTGAATTTACTAAGGTGATGTTGATCCTATTTTTTATGTTGTAGCATTGGTTAAATTTGTTAGGATAGCAAGCTATTGTGATTTGCTTTGCTTTAAGCATTTATTCCTTTTTTGCATGATATTTAACCTAATGTGTGCTTATGGTGTTCGTATCCTGGTGCTGGAGATAATAAGCATCGCTTCCCTTATAATTCAGGCATATCAGATGCGTGGTGCTGGCTCTGTTTTCCACAGTCATGGAATTGAATCTTGTCTTGTAACAATGATAAATCCGCTTTCGAAAGAGTTCCGTGTAAGTTTTTCTTTACCAGCGCTCCTCTCTCTTTCTCTTGCTTTTAATTCCTTTGTTCTTTCTCTTTCAGCAATTGATTTACTAATTTCCTTTTGAACAAATGCAGATCACTCATATGGAAATGATAAAAGGTATTCAGGGCCATGGTTATTACGATGAACTTGTGGTCCCAATAATTGAGAACACAGCCTACGAAAACGAGCTCACAGATTCTCTTGTCAAAGCTGTATGTTTCTTTTGTGTTCATCATGTCAATGAACTATGAAATTCACTTTCATGATGATCATAAAATGTTCATGTAGCCAAATAAGATTAATGAATGTTCTATATCAACAAGCAGTATGTGTCTATTTTCTGGTTACACTTTGGCCACCTATGTTACTTTGACTCTTCATTTTCTTGAAGTATCCTTGCTAACAAATATTCAGAGACGGATATGGGTGTATGATCCTTCAAATATATAGAAAAAATGAGCATATCCATGCCAGACCCATACTTGTATCGAGTACTTACCCCAAGTTCGAGCCACATAGTTACCAACAACCTTTCTTCACTCTCTGCATTGAAGTTCAGCAGAATTTCATATTGTTTTTGCTTGATTTATTTGTTATGCATGAATTTATTAATGTACAATGTTTTATTCATTATATTGAAGTTCACTTTAATGATTCTCAGATTGATGCATATCCCAAGACAACTGCCGTGCTTGTTCGCAATCATGGCATATATGTATGGGGAGACTCATGGATCAGTGCTAAAACTCAGGTTGGTAAAATTGTGCAAAGCTCGAGTTCCGACTGGTGAATTGAAGTTCACTATTTATCACTTATCATGATTCATATATATAGGATAAATTTCAGATTCTTACTTGTATAAACACTTTATTACAAATCGATGCTCAGATTCTTACATGTGCTAGTCATGCTGTCTTTCTTACTTCGGTGTTGGCATACTATTTCAGGCTGAATGTTACCATTACCTCTTTGATGCTGCTATTAAACTCCGTCAACTAGGCTTAGACTGGTCTACTCCAGATCATGGCCCCATTCAGAATGTTAAAGGATTTTCAAGCGTCAATAGCAGGATAAATGTGTCTACTAAAGACGGGACAGTGGATTCAAATTATAAATTTGAGCCATATCCGGTAAGAACTTTACATATTTCCCTTCAATATGATATTCTGTGTTTCCTAGACATGGTAGTGTATCCATTGTAACAAATGACATTGTGGTAGACAGGCTCTTGACGTTCGGAAGATTGTTGCATTCATTTATCTAGAATATGCTCTCACTCTACAATTTTCCCTGTTGCAGCGCTGTTTTGTGCTTGACATTGAAGGAACTACAACTCCTATTTCATTTGTAATGGATGTTCTCTTTCCCTATGCCCGAGACAATGTCGGGAGGTATTTGTCTGCGACATATGATAGTGCTGAAACCCAAGATGATATTAAGTTGTTACGTTCTCAAGTAAGGTTTTTCTTTGGGACTTTTTACCTTTTATCATGTTCTGCTGACATCCAGTCATAAATTGTTTGCTTCGCTTCCTGGAGGCAATTACTTTTTAATATCTCAAATATTCAAATTGATAGTCGGATTTGATGACGATTTGCTGCCTTTTTAGCTTGATACTCAAGTATAATGCAATCAACTCTCATTCTCTTTCCCCAAAATGATATGCTTCTGACCTATGTTTAATTTATATACATTAAACACGAATATGCAAAGAACTAGTCATCTGTGCAATATCATGCATAACAAATGAACCATTATCTATGACTTCAGAACCCTTATAGTTTCTACAATTCTCGGAACTTTTGCTGTATATATAGAACCACTGTCTATCATTGTCATTAATGATCTCTTAGTTTTCTGTTATCAATGATTCGTGTTCCAAACCCAATCATTTTTTTGGAGTATCTGTTTTGCTTGACGTTGTGGTCGTGGGATCGAGTCCCACGGTAGACAATTCATAATTCTGACTGCCGGAGGTCTTCCACGAAAGCTGCTCTCAATCTGGCGTTGGGGGCAGCCTACTATCCTACCTCACCCTCACCCCATTACATATGGGAGGGTCAGCTAATTTTTTTTGTTTTGCTTGACGTTCATTTGACACATGCATATAGGAAACCCGAAGAAATCTTCAGTAATGTGTTTTTTGGCATGCATATAGGAAAACAAAGGGAATGTAAGGGTACTTCTTCAGCTAATTTTCTGTGGTTAATGCAGTGGGATTGTTTACCTTATAAATTTGCAACCAAAGAAGTGTGGATTGACTCCTAAACGATATGCGTATATCGTATCCATAACATGTTTTCCGCAGGTCGAGGATGACTTGAAGCAAGGTATTACTGGTGCTGTACCTATCCCCTCGGAAGAGGCTGGAAAAGAGGCGGTGATTGCATCTTTGGTTGCTAATGTCGAAGCAATGATAAAAGCTGATCGAAAAATTTCTGCCTTAAAGCAATTGCAAGTAAGCAAACATGAATTCAAAGAAAAGACATTTTCGGATCTTAGCCTACCTACAGGAGAGGGCTAATATGAAATTAAATAGGGTCGTATATGGCGTACTGGATTTGAAAACAACGAACTGGAAGGAGTTGTTTTTGATGATGTACCAGAAGCTCTTGAAAAGTGGCACGCTTCGGGTATAAAGGTATTGTTACGTATTTCCTTTATTATTCTATAACTTTATATTCGGAATGTGGTTCTCGATACAATGTGTCTATGTTGTGATATATTTCCATGCAATTGCTCCAGATTGCAGTATATTGACAAGCCGTTTTAATCATTCTGCCAAACTGAAGCTAATTATCTTAGTAGATAGGTATCCGCTCATCTAGTCCAGATACCAGTTCAGGTTATTGTATGTTCGTGTCCTACTGAGTGATCGTAAAGCTACATAATCCCTTAGCATAGCACTGGCATTTTCTATTATTTCTGAGAAGAAATATATATCTGCGAGGAAAAACAGAAACATTTCATTGATTTTGATTTAAAGAGTACTTGACCCTTCAAATATCTCTCCCCCTTCGGAAAGTATCTTACTAAGTTCTCGAGTATTTACAGAAAGTTCGAGTTTTGGTACTAATATTTGCTTCCTCATTCATCACAGGTATACATATATTCCAGTGGTAGCAGGTTGGCTCATAGGCTTATATTTGGAAATACAAACTACGGTGATTTGAGGAAGTATTTATCCGGATTTTTCGACACTGCAGTAGGGTAAGTTTATTGCCTTCACGGATTGCTTCTATACTTGATTCCAATTCAAAAGGGACTCCGTTTCGCCTTTTCTTGCTTGCAGAAACAAAAGAGAAACACGAAGTTATGTTGAAATCACAGTCATTGGGAGTCGATAAACCATCCGATGTACTATTTCTGACCGATGTCTATCAAGAAGCCACGGCTGCAAAAGCTGCAGGTAAAAAGAATCACAACCCAAAAGCCTAAAGCGTAACGGATTGCCCTAAGAACGATTCTAAAGTACTCTGCACAACCTTTGCATAAATTGTCAATTAAGCATGTTCCTGAACTGTTTGGACTTTTAGCCCAGATTCTGATTTCATGTTACGAAAATTAAATGCCCTTTGGTTATTAATCAGTATTTTCATCTTTATCAAATTCGTAGGTTTGGATGTCATAATCTCCGTCCGGCCGGGAAATGGTCATCTTCCGAAGAATCACGGATTCAAGACCGTCAACTCTTTCCTGGAGATCTGGTAGAACCTTCGTACTTCTGTAATAAAATCGACCGTGACATTCCATGCACATAATAAACCCCTTGTGAATGATGCAATATATTGGTTTTGTGACAATTGAAGTGACTGTTGGAAGGTTTGCAACTCTTTTTTAACTGCAATACGGCAAGATTTTCCCAAGCCTTTATAGACTCCATTACCATTACAGAAATTAAAATGAAAAATACCATCAAGTGTATAAAGTTTTTTTTTAAAATAAACATATTTGTACAAGACACATCCGAATTTCTATCGCACCTATATCCGAATAACTTTATCATCTCCTTGCAATTTGTCAAACGGATAAAAGTAAAAAATTTAAAAATCAAAACCAAAAGTGCATGGTTTCGGTCTCAGAAAAGCATCAAGACTCTGAACTATCAGCAACATTATGAGTTTTAGTACACATCCCTAATGGGATGCAACAAACGAAATTAACTAACTTTAACCACTATCAACCGATAAAGTTTGTCTATATAACTCAGTTCCGGTTCGAGTTTAACTTTCTTCAAGCAAGATAATAGTAACCCAAAGCTATAAGTATCAACACCACCACCACAGCTGGAGCGGCCCACATCCAGTAGTTGGTCGACTTCTTACGTTTCAGGATGGGTCTCGGAAGTGAATCACGACCTTTAGTTCGATTCCTGTACCTCACAGTATTCTCCTTTTTAACTTTATCCTTCACCGCAACAGGAGCAGGAACAGGTGCATCGGCATTTTCATCTTTTTCAGGTTCCGGAGCCTCTGCCATAGCTTCAATCGGTTCCTCATTATTTGCACCGGTTGTAGATGCTGCTGCCTTCTTTGCTTTCTTCTCTCGCTCCTGAAGGGGAACAAATCAAAATAAGATCAATTTCAATCCGCAAACTAAATATCAACAAGCAAAACATGATGAAAGAATGAAATAATTTCCTTGAGCTTCTTTTCAGCTTCCTTTTGAGCTCTTATAGCTGCTTTGGCTGCTTTTTCTTCAGCCTTCTTCTTCTTCCTTTCCATGGCTTGCTTCGCTTTCGCTATTTCCTCTTCCCTCTTCATTTCTTTCAGTTTTGCTGCATCAATTTCCTTGTCAGCAGATGTCTTTTCGGCTTCCTTTTGCAAGTTGCTGGATCCAGGGATCTCTGTCTCTTCTACGACACTATTCTCGGGATATGATTTTGACTCTAATACTTTCTTGCCTTTTTTTGGTAGTTTAGTATCTGGTTCAGGAGAAGGTTTGGCTTCTTCCTTTGGTTGTTGGACAGTCGGTTTTGGAATCGTTTCAGGTGCAGAAGCAACTGGTGCCTCTTGTACAACCAGTGGTTTCTCATCAGGATTCCTTATCCGACCATCTCGACTTAATTGCCTCTGGTCCAAGGATGGCAGAATTCTTTTTTCATAATCGTCCCTGACGGCTTTCTTGCTGCTCCAAAGAGCCATAAACTTCTCGACCTACATGCAATACAAAAGATAAGAGAACAGCCAAAAATTAATGCACAAGAGACACTTGGGATGTAGCATTAATAGGTAATCGCAATAAACCTCAACAGTCGAAAGCTCCTCAAGACCCTTTATATCTTTCTTTGAAGCAAGCTCTTTCGCTTTGTTCAAGAGTGAACGGCTCTGGTAAAAGTGAGCATTCTGGAAAATTGGAAATAATTTGTAATTAAAATGAGTCCTCCAAAATACTTGACGAACAAAAATGCAAAATATTATCGCAATCAATAATGACCAAAACAGCTTTCGAAATGACCAAAAAAGAAACATTAAATTTTAACTTTTAGCACTCATAGACAGAGCCAAGAAGAATAACATCCCACAAGAGAGAACTAATCGTTCTACAAGGCTTGCATCTATATAAATACATACATGAAGGAAGAGAAATTGAAAGAAACAGAATGGAGCATCTCATTCTCACCAGGGAAAAGAAAGATTCAGCTTAAAGAAAAGATTCAATTTAAAGCAAAAAATGACATACCGCCTCATCACGTTGTTTCCACAGTTGTTGCATGGTTTCATAAGCTTTGTTCCTCTTCTGGATCACAGCATTCAGCTCTTGCTGTAAAGCCTCGATTTTACTCTCTATCGCACTCACTTTTTCTTTAATTTGCTTTTTCTTAGACCAGATAGCATTTTGCTCCTTCCTTACGCCATCCAAATCATTACCCATGAGCTACAATGAATCAAATATAGCAAGTTAATCAGTCTAATTTTACAATAGTCTATACTTGTATACAGGAGGGGGGAAAGCAAATTCTGATGGATAATTGGTTCAAAACAGAAATTCTCTTACTTTAACTTGATCTTGAATGTCTTCTTTCTGACCCAGTGATTCCTGAATCTTTGATCTCACTGCAGCATTAGCAATAACTTTGTCCCGGGTTCCCTCAAGTTGTTTGATTTCTCTAAGGAGTTGCTTCTCCTCGGACAATGGGATGCTTTCATGCTGGATGCGATATTGCAAGCTATAGATCTGCGATTTATCAATTCCCGATGATAAGTGACAAAAAGAGAAAAAGACAAAGGATTAGCTGCAGCCGAAAAGAATGCTTAAATCTCAACGCAGTCAACTTTACAATACTAGCATACAATATCATTGAGCTCTTCCTCAGACGAACATATACCACCACGACCACCACCATTGTTATTATTGCGAAGCTTGCCTAAAGCCTGCTGCAGTGGTTCCATTTCCTTCTTTTTCTCGCCAAGCATCATCTTAAACTGCTCGAAATCAACATTCAGGGCTTTCACTTGAGAAAGCAACTCTGCTCGATCCGACTGCATTAACATTAACATAAAGATAATAATAACTTAAAGTCAGTAGCACAATGATTTTAGAAATTCTTTCGCAATTTGGCTCAACTTGAGGCAAATACACTAAAGAGTAACCATCATACCAAATACTATTCGGCACCACGTGTAAAACAAACAATACCATATATCCAATTATTCATTTCCAGCTCAAGGACTTCTGTTTCCAACAACCGGGTATATGCATTCGAGGATTTAATGTTTCTAGATTCATCATAATACAATAAACACATCCAATTGCATTTAAATAAAGTTTTAAAAACCTATCACAACTTTTATTGCGCCTAACCTCTCGGAACCATTGAAAAGCAAAACAGGAAGCATATAGATATCCTAAGAGCACAACAACAGTTAACGAACCAGATATCATATTCGACATTAATTGCACTTCACTCACCTTGTGTGATTTTAATTCATCAGTAAGCTGAAACCTGACTTTATTCAACTTTTGCATCTCTTTATCAACCTGATCGATTTTGGCCTTTATCTTCGGATCATCAAAAGGACGATACCTGATAAAATAGAAGGAGTGGATCTTGCTTAGGAGCAGGCCACTCGGTTACAGCATCACTTGGAAAGTCGGATACATTTTTCTCTTCTCCCTTATTTGGTTCCTCAACATTGGAACCGACTTTAATGGACTGAGTATGAACCGGATCTTTGTCCAGTTTCCCATTTTCCTCATCATGAAGAAGTGATTTGTCAACTTCAGTTGCTTTGTCCATAGGTACTTTAGCCATTTCAGATCCCACAACTTCAACACCCATTAATCACTAGAAAATTAAAAGCCTAATAAATTTAAAAAAAAAGAGAGAGAGAGAGTAAGGTATCACATAGTACAACAATATATCACATAGTACAACAATATATATATATACACATATCATTTATGAATCTAAATTATAATAAGAAAATCAATCTAAAGCTATTAAATCCTCTAGTTTTCTGTAAACTGAATTAAAAAGTTGAAATATATGCGATAAACAACAGATAATTCAAAAAAAAAATCTTTACTCTACATGAGATCTTTAGAAACAAGAACAAATCAGATAATCTGCACAACAGAAATACATGATTGATCAACTACAATCAGATAAAATCCAGATCAAAACAGATTTTTTATAATAAAAAAAAAGATCAAGCCTTTATATATATTAAAAAAGCTAACATGCAAATCAATAACGACACAATTAAGAAGTACCCAGAATTTCCAAACAACGAGAAATGGAAAAAAAAAGGTCAAAACAGATCAAAAGAAAAAAAACCAGAGAGAAAAACATAGAGAAAATGGAAGAAAGATTAAAGGATTACCCTTTCAGAGAGATCGGTAAGAGAGGATAAGGAAATCCTTTGAAAGAGGAAAAGGGGTTTTAAAGAGTTTTTGGCGAAGCAGAGGCGGGATGGGGTCAGATCTTAGTCCCTGTCTCTTCTGCTTCTTTTCAAAATTGAGAATGAACTCCAAGATAGAAACACCACTGGATTTATAATTATAGCGTTAATTGCTGGTAAAAGATAAAAATAAAATAGAAATTAGGTCAGTAAATACAGTAAAAAAATATTTGTGTTTGGTGGGTCCCCCTCTTTTTCCCAGTTTCTACATGCAGTAAAACAACCCGTTAAAAAAAATTGTTTGTTTTGCTGTCTATGGAGTTCCGAAAGTTAATTTTTTTGTATGGATATATTTTGAATAATTTTACTTTTATAACTTGTTCAGAATTAATATTTTATAACTTTTTAATAAATTAAATATCATCAATATTCATCTGTGTGAATTATGTGCAATTATCTCTAAGTTTATTTTGCTTCAACTCTATTATTATAAATAAATCTATCTAAATTTACTTTAATTTAGGTTTTGGTATATCTTAATTATTGAATTAATTGTGTTTTATAATAATTAATTTGATTTTAATTGTTAAATAAAATTTATTAATAAGATTCGAGATTCGAATCAAAAAATTAATAAATATTTAATTGATTGAATTATTTAAATTGATTGTATATTATCTTTTAAAACAAAATACAAAGGGTTGATTTAATTTATATATTCATTAATATTTTGTTGAATATTGTGATTAAATTAAATTAAGTTTTATATTCATCATAATTTCATTTCTATTATAATTTAAACTCTTCAAATATGAAGATAAATAACAGTTTCCTGTTTTAAATTATTTCTAGCTTTAACATAAGAAAACGTTTTTTTATATATTTAAACTACAGATTTTAATTGAAAAGGT